ATAAAAAGAACAAAATAAATATATATAATTTCAAAAAAGTTAACTGATACAAAGGGCTATTGACCATAGCCTTAATAAATATTATTATGTTAATAATAGTTAAACTTGTCTGGAATTATGTAAGAAAAATTCAAGAAGCTGCCGATGAACTAAGATTCGTGGTCATACAACAAATTGTTCATAAGACGTAGTACCTAACATGATACAAATATAAAAGGTACACCAGAGCGCATATTTAGGGTCACCAATACCATAACTGAGAGGAGTGGGATTCATATACTTTCAAGCATATTTAATGTGCATGCGTCTGTTTTATATATCACTACGGTCACCAATTACATCATGTGCAAATGTATCTATTCTTCTTTCTTGTTGCCTTTTTCCCATTGTTTTCCTGAATCATCATCATGACGGCTAAGGGTAATCTATTCTTGTCATTATACATTTTAATATTACAATATTACTTTAATTCATTTCATATTAATTGCTACTAGTCTGATGTAGGATTTCACTTACATATACTTTTAATTAGGTATATGTAAGTACTAACACAGATATATTTGCTTGCGTAAGCATAAATAAGCATGATCTGTTTGTATTGTAGTTATTCCATTACTTATTTTGATTGAATGAAATTAGTGCTTCCCTGTGCAACTTAGCAAGTCTGTTGACGCAAAACACTAATGACTTCTATTTGTTTTCTAATTGAACAGATGGCCGCCATCTGACGGTCAGGCCTAGCACCGAGAGAAGCTTGTAGTGTACTTTACACAACTGTACGAGCTGTAGCCGATTTTACCGGACTGTACCTTTCTGACATGTGTCGTTGTTCATTTTCTATGCGGTTTTCATTGTGAAGCTGCACGCTGCACGGCAGCAACGGCAACTAAGTTGCTCCTCATTCGGAAAGCAATTGTGATAGTCAGGTTTAGCAACAGTTAACAACCGAACAGCCTCAGGTGAGTGAACTACTAGCCAGTTGGCATAGCATACTCCAATGTAGTTTAGTGTAATACAGTCGAACCAGGTCATCTACATAGCAGGAAAACTGTTTGTTGCTCCTCGTGACACGTTTACATTTTGAGGTTAGAAAATAACAATGTATTATATGGTTTGTAATAAAGCTTGTCGCTTACAGTACGGCGTAGCACATTTGAATTTATACATTTTGAGTGAAAAGTGAGAGGAAGTCAGCCCGAGAGACGGTCATTTTTTCTTTAGAGAAAGGAAACTACTTTCTATGCCATTTATGCTATTAACATTCTTTTCTTTTTTCTTTGTTTCCTGCTACTAGCAAGTCCAATGGCGCGTGGTCAGCAGAAGCTCCAATCTCAAGCTAAAGCAGCCGATAAGGCTGCCAAAGCAAAGAAGCAGCAGGGGCATAGTGCAAATGCCCAGAAGCAAGCAGCTCAGAAGGCTCTTGTTCATGTTTGTGCAGTGTGCAAGGTAAGTAAATAAATCATCAATATTAACAGTTTTAAATCAATTGATCTTATTTTAGGCCCAAATGCCTGATCCCAAGACCTACAAACAGCACTTTGAGAATAAACATCCCAAGAACGAAGTGCCTGCTGAATTGAAAGATGTATAAGCGCTTCAAGCATGTAATCACTGCCGTGTTATTGAAAACTTTTATATTTGTAAATTTTATATTACTGATATTACATTCTCCATTAATATAAACATTTAATACCTTTGTTGTCCACGTGGAAATTTAAGATATTTTTTTGTAATTCGATATTCTATTTGCAATAGGTTTCAATATGACTGTATTATTTTTACATATGGCGCACAATATAAATGTATTATGCAAATTGAATCCGCGTATGTAAATTATTCTTTGACCCTAAAGAAAATTAACCAGCAACAAATTTGTTTCACTCGATGCACTCCAATCAATAGATAATAACAACATACAATTAATATTATAGATAAAATAATCCTGTTGACAGTGGTGACTGGAGAAACATTTTGGGTGACTGCATGTTAATTTTGTATTTTCATACATAATAATAGGTTTTTATAACAATCCAGCTATTGAAGAAATAGAAACATGAAATACTCTACAAGAATGTTTTTTTTTAATCTCTCATTTGTGATACTATTTCAAGTCTATAATAAAACGCATGCAATAATCCGGTAGAAAGTAACTGTCTTTCAGGTGCGAGAAAGTAATTAGATAGAATATAACAAATATATTTATGTAGTCATTTCATTGTATGACATGTTTTATGTTGTATAATAAATATTATTTTTTTCTACAATTTTTCATCTTTGATCCGATGGAGAGATATATAATCTTTGTAAGAATAGAACTGTTTGTCAGTGTCCTTCATATGCAAAAAGAACTTTAATTTGAGTTATGAATATAAAACCTTATAACTCGGCCATTTATTAACTTTACGAAAAAAATTTATTTTATCAAATATTGCACAATAAATTAACGCGTAATATGTAAAAAGTTTTAAAAAAAGTTGAATAATTAAAAAAAAAACAAGTCGTGTCGCAAAGTTTGGTATATGTTATTTTATATTAACACTTGCCCAAATAGGAATATGCAATATAATATGAAAAAAAATTACCTAAACAGAAAATTCGTTGTTTTGCAACGAGTCTGGCATATTTGTAACTATTACTGATTTTGTGTAATTTACTTCAAAAGTTGAAAAAACTTTCTTTTTAAGCCTTTTTTTTTAGAGGAGAGGAAACCTTACATAGGGACCATGGGTGGAATCATGGTACTGTGGGATTCTTACCGCACTAAAGCACTAAAGCTGAACAACCACAACCCTAAACTGGCCTATTGATGGTCAGATAAGATAGCAGAGCTGAGGAAACAATGCTACTCTGCTAGAAGGCAGTACCAGAGGCAAAGACGCAGAACGAATGTAGTTGACTGCGATATGGAAAAGAAACGACTAAAAAGGCCATCAAGGAAAGCCAGAGCTGATGCTGGAAACAACTCTGCGAAGATGTCAACACAGACATCTGGGGAGATGCTTACCAAATTTTAAAGAGGAGGCTGAAACCGAGAGAACCGATTGCAGAAATCACAGCAGAGAGAGCATGGCAGGTCACAGAGGCGCTTTTTCCTCGACATGAAAACCTGGAAGACGTCTTCAAGGCTTCAAGGAGGGCAGATCCACAACCGAAGCAGTCATGGCATCCATTAGGATTGCTACTGAGGCGAAGACTGTTACTTGGAGAACAAGATGCACATTGTCGATGCTAACATTGGACGTCGGAAACACCTTCAACACTGTGGCATGGAAGGAAATTATCAACGAACTGAGAAGAGAGACATTGCCAAGATCATATGCAGTTACCTCAGCGGCAGAATAACAAGTGAATTGCTACTGAGGGAAGACTGGACTTGGAGAACAAGAAGACAATGTGCGTGCTAACCTTGGATGTCGGAAACACCTTCAACACTGGCATGGAAGGAAATTATCAACGAACTGAGAAGAGAGACATTGCCAAGATCATATGCAGTTACCTCAGCGGCAGAATAACAAGTGAATTGCTACTGAGGCGAAGACTGGTACTTGGTGAACAAGAAGACAATGTGTCGATGCTAACCTTGGACGTCGGAAACACCTTCAACACTGGCATGGAAGGAAATTATCAACGAACTGAGAAGAGAGACATTGCCAAGATCATATGCAGTTACCTCAGCGACAGAATAACAAGTGATCTAGGAGAAGTGGAGATCGGTAGTAGGCCTCACTTTGTGGAATATTTTCTATGATGGTTTTCTCGAAATCAAACAGTCTGAAGGGGTAACAGTCCTGGGCTATGCGGACGACTTAGCAGGCAATGCTAATGGTTGCAAAGGTTCTGAACTTTTCATCGCATTGCAATCAGTAACTAATTTAAATTGCCTGAAATGTTTCAGTGCATTGTAGTAGTTCTACTAAAATATGCTACCACTTTATCAGTTCTATTGTGATTTTGAAATAAAATTGCACCGTATCCAATTGTCGTGTCCCAGGGATTGAATTCTGGAAACAGTGGAATATTGTCTGTTATTGTCGTTGTAGAGTCTCAGTTGTAGGAAATAAATATTTCAATTGGTTTTAAACAAGTTTATTATAATAATTAGCACTCTAGCGGTTTTTTCTAAGGCAATGTATATACATTAAAACTTTGACTAAGACTAGTATCGTCTTTAAAGGTTTTGTTTAGACTAATTCTAAATACATATTCTACTTAAAATGTTAATTCTTAATAATACGGGGTGGGAGTTGTGATTGGGAGTAGGGCTTGTATATATCCTTTGGATTTGTTTATATATAAAGAAGAAAAGAGAATAATTTACAAATTTCAATAAATAAAATATAAATTACTACTGTTTTAATTCTAAATACCTTGTTATAATATCAAAAATAATAATCTTGCAATAAAATTGTTTTTTGTTTACTTAGTTTCAGTAAAATTTGCATATTGCGTTAATTAAAATGAAATATTAAGTTAACTTAAACTACTTTATTTTTTTCAGAAATTTCACTGAACTAATGAAATGAAAAACGATTTTTAAGAAAATCCTATTCACTTTTTTTCCAATTTCTACAGCTCATAGCAAGCGACTTGATGACAGCACGAAAATACCAATAGGCTCGTTGAAAAGGTGAGGTATTCAGCTTTCAATTGCGTTGTTGGAGATGTAATTATCTTAAAGGCTTGTCGAGAAATACTGAAAAAAAATGCAAATATCGTCTATTCTGTTTTGTTACGAACATTACGTAACTTTTGTTTCATAAAAAGTTGCGTAAAGGTGACGCCCATCATACGAAACCATAAATTGAAATAAAAGTTACGTAATTTTCAAGAAATTAAGAAAAAACATGAAAACTCGTCGTTTATCATCGAAAAAACGATTTTACAGAAAATCCTATTCACTTTTTATCCAATTTCTACAGCTCGTAGCAGACGACTTACGCAATCATGAAATGCAACAAAAGTTACTTAATTTTCGTGTAATTAAGAGAAAACATGAAAACTCATCGTTTCTCATCGAAAAACAATTTTTAAGCAAATCCTATTCACTTTTTTCCAAGCTCATAGCAAGCGACTTGATAACAGTACGAAAATGCTAAAATTCTCGTTGGAAAGGTGAGCAATTGACAATGTCATATATTGTATGCATTTTATATTGTTACTGTGTACAATGTATATTTTTTTATTATATAAATTTATTAATTATGCAAGTTACGAAAAAAATCACAAAGAACAATGTTTTCTCTTTACTGTGCATGTAAATCAGCATGCACAGTAAAGAGACAATTATTGTAGTCATGCTGTGTTTTTTTTGTATTTTATGATTTTTTTACTGAATTTAAATTTTATTTATTTAAAAACTTTATGTTACAATGTTACATTGCCAAAATTACGTTTCTTTTTATATTTGTAATTATGTTCAGTTAATTTGTATAATTTATGAATTTTTATTAATTGAATAATAATAATAAAAATCTTAATTAGTCACCTGTCGACCTAAGTCTTTCCGCCCTTATTAATTGATTTGCATTATTTTTTATCATTTTCTTCCAAATGTTTAAAACATAATTTATAATTATCTATTTGCTATTTATTTATATTATTTGTTTTTTTTTATTGAATATGTCTATTGAACAATAAATGACTTAAATCAAAATGCCTAACATCCTATGCCTAATTTTATGTTCACCTTTCACCTTTATATCTAATATAAATAATGGATTTTGTGAATATAATATGTATACAAGAAACTTTGATTTTGCTGTAGACAGACAATGGTTTTTTAAGATATTATTTTATTGGCTGTAATTTGGGGCAATGCCTTTCATCCAAACTAAAATATTTAAACATAAATATCTATAGGTTCAATCAAAGCAACTAGTTTCCTAAAACGGACCACTATCTTAATTTTATCCTAAATATTCACTTCTAGTGTCTTCTTCCTTAACATAATTCTGCCGAATTGCTACAGCCTTAATGTTAAGATATTCCCCCCTATCAATTCAAAAGAATTTCTCCTTCCTAAACATCCTCATTCCTCAGGGACAGCTCTCTCCAAAATCCCCAAAGCCAAAATACCCCACCCCCTTGCAGTATTGGAGCGCAACACCGACCCGATTCTAATCCAACGCCTTGAAGACATTAACATAAAATTCTTACCTCCTCCCTTAAGTAACTTGAAACACTCCCTTTTCGTTCTCGTGCAGTATTATAATGTGTTCCGCGATTTCAAGTGCAACAACATACTTCCCGTGTTAGTCTTAAATAATTTTTTTTGTATTTCTCTTAACCTGTGTGCACTACATTTTTTTCTATGTGTTCTATAATTTTAAGCCCCCCTTTATAATATGTCCTGATCTGTTCTGAGCCGTCATTATCCTTATTATCCTTATCTTTTTCATTGTATGTTTAATGTATTTGTAATTTTCTGAAGGCCGCAAGAGGCTAACGCCCATAGCGGTCTCACTTGTCTGTAATAAGCTATATGTACTTTCTTTAAAAATAATAAAGATTTATTAAAATTGAAGGCGGCGCCCCTCTTGCCACGCCCTGGAATCGGCATTGGTAGTTGCGTTTGCGTTCCTGAGATAGGAGTACGTCTGAACAGAATAGCCATTTTATTTCTATACAATACTTTCTATTATTTTCTTTATTTGCATTCATATCAAATAGAGATTTTTTGTTTATTTGCAAAAATATAGCGGTTTCGATCAGTCTGGATTCACTATATTCCGGTTTGAAAATTTCAAACCAAATTGAATTTGAACTGAGAAAAATAAATAGAAAAAAATATTACTTTTTGCAGCGCCTTTAAGTCTTTTTCCGCCTTTTACGAATTAATTACACAAATAATACAGATTTGTTTTTTTTGGTTTTCCCGGAAGAAAAAGGAAAATTTTCAATAGTAAATCCGTTAAACCAGAGGTTCCCAAACTTTTTCGGTTTGCAGCGTCTTTAATATATCAGAATACAGGTATCCGCCGACTTACAAACTAACTGATGCTGCTTCCATTGCTCAACATTATATTTATAATAACTAACCCTACCATAATTTTACGGGAATTATCTATCAAGATTTTTTTTATTGGGGTGTAATAAAATATTATACAATTAAAGTATGCAACAAATTGAACTATAATTTTTATATCCATATATTAAGGGTACTAAAATTTTACACCCCTATTAATACTAAGTAATTTCTTAGTAAATAATAATAAAATAATATTAAATACTGATTACTTTTATAAAAACGTAAACTCTTTGACACTTTGAAATAATTATTCCAATCTTCAGACATCACATTAGATGAGATTTTCAATACTTGGATAAGATTTGTCTAATCTGCGTCTTGTACTTATATTTGGTATTAATTTATATATAGAATGTGTTTTATAATCAGGTCATATGGAACCAACATCTCACCAAACAGTAGAATTTATATTTAATTTATATAAAATATTATAGCAAATTAATAATAATGATAAAAGTATTGTATAATAATATACAAAAGGATGTAGTGCATATATTTCCGCCCTATAGCGAATTATTATAGTAAATATTATAATTGCTGTCCTAGCTGACGTAATCTGATATTTTAACCTTGTAATGCGCATGACATGCGTAGAAGTACTAGACTACGTGAGTCAATTGAATGTTTTTTCGATATATTAAAAAAAATGTTATTAACTTTCATCCATTAAAAAATGAACCATTTATTTATTTATTTATTTATTTATTTATTATTATTGATTTTAAAAATTTTTTGTCCGAATTTCGAACTCATGACTTCTGTATATGCACCACATTGACAAATTCAACGAGACTTGACTTCAGTTGTTTCTGCAAACTGACATTCACTCTAGTTGTGCGAATAACTGAAAACGTAACAAGTATTTTATTATAGTAATTACTTGCATTTAGTGTTGGGAGAAGCATAATTTGGATATAAAAATGCGTTTTAGAAAAGTTTTTTTATTCGAAGACGATATTGAAGAATCAATCACTCCAGTTAAAAATGATGCGAGTTTTCAACCCGGTATAGAAATAAGCAGAAGGGAAGAGAGATATAATAACGATGATATTTTTTTTAGGTAAAAAGTTGACCAAACTGAACGCTGTCCCAGTGAGGCAAGAATTTCCCATTGGTTCAGATGATTTATGGAAGGAAATTGATTATGTACTTGATAACTCAATCTATTGTTTGCTAAATGATAGTAATAATCCCATTACTTTTAAAGAATTGAAGAGTCCAAGACGTGTTAAACCAAAACGCACTAAAGCTAAACGTGCAGTGCGTTGCAGTCCACGTAAACTCGGTATAGAGATAGGCAGAAGGGAAGGGGAATATAATAACGATGATATTGTTTTAGGTAAGAAGAGGGTAGATCTGAACGATGACACTGTGACACAAGAATTTCCCATTGGCTCAGATGATTTATGGAAGGAAATCGATTATGTGCTTGATAACTCAATCTATTGTTTGCTAAATGATAGTAACAATCCCATTACTTATAAAAAATCGAAAATTCCAGGCTATGTGCCATTTGAATTTATATCTGATGAAGAACCGGTGGTGTATGAGACTTTAGACAAATCCTATTAACTGAGAGGTAATTTATTGCAAAATATAAAAGATGAATAGTCATCAGTATCATTGTTAGTTTCTTGTATCTAGTGTAAAAATGTGTTAAAATCATATAAATCTATAATCGTTAGAATTTTAAATTACATTTGAATAGTAAATTACCTTTTTTGTCTCGTATTCCTCGATTTTTTTCTGTTGTGGATACACCTTTCCTAATATCGGTTTTTTTTTTACAAATTTGTCAATTTTAAATGTGTTGTATCTTATATAAAAGATGAATAGTCATCAGTATCATTGTAAGTTTCTTGTATCTAGTGTTAAAATGTGTTAAAATCATATAGATCTATAATCGTTAGAATTTTAAATTACATTTGAATAGTAAATTACCTTTTTTGTCTCGTATTCCCCGATTTTTTTCTGTTGTGGGTACACCTTTCCTTATATCGATATTTTTTACAAATTTATCAACTTTAAATGTATTGTATCTTATATAAAAGATGAATAGTCATCAGTATCATTGTTAGTTTTTTTTATATCTAGTGTTAAAATTTGTTAAAATCATAGTGTTCTATAATCGTTAAAATATTAAATTACATTTGAATAGAAAATTACCTCTTTTTGTCCTATTTTGGGTACACCTTTCCTAATAATATTTTTTTACAAATTCATGTGTTTTTGGATGTGTTTGATTTATTATTGTAAAGGGCAAATTTTTAAAATTAATAAAAATATATTGAGTTTTATAGTACTACATTTGTGGACAGTGTATAATTAATTATAACGACACAAAATTTCAATATTTGGTTTCAATTTAGTTAAACCTTAAATCTTCTAGGCGAGTGATTTTCAATCTTTTTCTTATTTTTGTAAAGAGCTAAAATTCCTTTCCACGAGGTATGAAGATGGAAAAACTTTCTATTTTTCCAAAAGTTAATTGTAAACCTTTCTTTGGTATGGTGCGAGTTCCATAGGTTGAGCTGGCAAAAATCAGGCTTCACTTCTTGCGTCATCCAATGGTGATAAGGCATTTGGCTATTTTAATACATTTATTTCTGTTGGTGGATTTGGTTCGTCCTTAACTAGATTTCTTGTAGTATTCGTCAATTAAGCGCTTCTGGCGATGGAGAAAATACCTAATACTGAAGTTGACAGCCTTTATTTTTTCAAAAGTTAATTGTCAACCTCTCTTTGGTATGGTGCGAGTTCCATAGGTTGAGCTGGCAAAAATCAGGCTTCACTTCTTGTGTCATCCAATGGTGATAAGGCATTTGGCTAGTTAAATACATATATTTCTGTTGATGGATTTGGTTGGTCCTTGAATAGATTCCTCGTAGTATTCGTCAATCTGCATACTGAAGTTGTAAGCCTTTATTTTCTAATTCATAGAGACTTAAACTTGGCCATGTGAGATTGTATAATTTGTTGGTATTAGTCATTAAATCCTTCCTTGCAGTTACAATGTTTACCTGGTGTTAAGTAAGAACGATAACTCACACCATTTTGCTATAACTTTCCGGTTTACGGATTCCAAAAGTTGTTTTCCAAAGTCTATTCTGTATTCGATGGTGTGAGTTCTATAGGTCCATCCATAACAACGGATCTGATTGGTCCTAGGTCAGATTTCTCATAGAATTAGTGGGAGGAGCACCCGATTCTTGTTGGTCCATCTTCTCGCTGCTATTGTTAAGAAGTGTAGACAGGTAAACGTAAGCCACTGCCCATAATCGAGCAGAATCCGGCAAGTCATCTTCTCTCAACACTTCAGCGGATAAACTGAATGGATAAATTTAGAATAATTAATTAAAAGCAGAGACCAAACATAATTTGATAATTATATAACTTTTGAACAATTTCATAAATAAATATCATACATACTTATTACATAATATGTTTCAAGCCTGGATTTTCTTAACTTCATATGACTCAATTAGAACAATTTCGTAGGATAATTTACCTAGAAAAAATATGTGTTAACTATATATGTATCAAAAAAGAATAATTGTTTTTCTCCATCTACCTACACTCTCTCGATATATGTGATATTACAAATATTTATTTAAAGCCTTCTATATTTTACCTGGATCGATCCCGGATATACAAATTGAAGCTAATATTTCAATCAAATCCATTTATACTTGAAACTTTTGCTTTTTGTCTTTCTTTTCTTTGCTCGAGAACTACTTTTTACAAATATTTTATCAAAATACATGAAAATATATTTTAAATTTATTCCAAAAGTCTTAAAAAATTCAATTTACTTTTTAAAGATTTAAATGATCTAAAATTGTGTGGTTTATATACCTTGTATGTGCATTTTTTATAGATAGATCCGTCGTATCAGAGAACAATAAAATTTAGTTCAAGAAGGAAACGGAAATATCATTTGTTTTCATTTGAGAAATGGATAAGACTAGATTCAAATGAAATGAAGTATGCATATTGTATCGCGATCCGACGGTAAAGATCAATGATCAATATTAGTACAATGAATTTGTATAATTAATTATATATGCCAGTGGCTAAATAACATATATTAATGTTTTCTATATATATTTGTATTGGATTGAGGATACAAATAGTTAGATAATAAAGTTTATTGATACTCTGCTTATTTTATACGAGAATAAGCCACAAGACCATGAATTTAAAGATGCAGTTGCTTGGCTATAATTCAAGAAAGATTTAACTTTTTAAACCGCTTATAGACACACAAATTGTACAAATAATTTGGTGTACTCCAAACGAATGTACGTTAATATCTGTGTAATACGCCATAAAAAATGCATGTACAGTGGAACCTCACTTAACAAGTTTAATCCGTTCCAACATTTCCGGATTTTTGCTAGTATAGTGAAATACTCGTATTGTGAAACATACACTAGTTTTAAAAATGATGTAGCAGGCGTAATCCAGGACTTCTCTTCTTATCGTCACTCGTTATGCAAAACGTCGCTCGTTGTATAATGAGAAATGCTCATTATGCAAGGTGCTCGTTAAGCGACTTTCTACTGTATTTATATTTTTCTTGGCACGAATGTACTTAACGCTCATTTTGCCGTCGGACAGTGATCTTAGACGCGGCTGCTAACTGGCCCCAAGTAAAACTGGAAATGATGAAAACAGAAATAAGATTTAAACTGAAGTTCTCCACACCACAAGTCCTTAAATATATTTATTTGGTTATACAACAGCACAGTACAAATAATATAAATATTTGTTTAATCACATTTAAAATACAATATAATACAATACAAATTTATATATACAATACAAAAAACTTGACATATAATAAAATGCATACATTTATAGAAACATATTATCCAGAAAATCTTTAATTTTATTATAAAAAATAATACAGCTTTCATATAGCTTTATATATTTTCTTGTAAATAGGTTAAACAATGTGTCCTGTATGTCAATATGGACAACAAATTGTTCATAAGTTAATTCCGGACAAATTCTGGATTGGGCGGAACTCACGAAGTCATGTAACGTATCGACGGCTTCAAGAATATAATCTAGTTTCAACAAAAAAATTTCTACATGTGTTTTCTTATTCCTATCACTCTCCTCGGCGATAGTCATTACGATTATGTCCTTGTACGATCGCAACATCGTCATTATGGAATCTGTCTCTTCAAGCAATGTCTTCCAAATCTCTATTTCATTCTTCAACCTCTCGTCTAGCCAAATTTGATTGTTGTCAGATGCCACTGAGTAAAACGAATTTCTTTTCGTTCGATCCTTTCTTATTTCTTCTTTCAACGCACCAACAATCTTTCGCTGCATAACCTCGTCCTGTCGCAATTTTATTTTTTGATTTATATGTTCATTCGCCAGCAATAAGTTGCACTGGATTGATTCCACTTGGACACGTATTAACGCCATTATATACTGATTTTTGTTAAAAAAATACTTTGAAATTACTCCAGGTCTGAATAAATGATAACTACAAACTGGGTGTGGCAATAAGCTGCAGGATCGCAAAAGCTTATGGAACCTCTGTAATTACGTCTCATTATTACGGCCACATCATTGCTTGTGGCGCCATCTGTTTCCCGTTCAACATTTGATTTTTGAACTCTTCACAGCACTTTCTACATTAAACAGTACGTCCTAAATACAAAACCTTATAATTTGTATAATAATAAGGAAAAATACAATTGGTATATTTATTGAAGTAAACAATGTATCTACGTTGAACAGTGCCGGATTTTGGATTTGAGACCCCGGAAATAAATATGGGGGACAGCAGTAAATAAAAAAGAGTTGTAATAGAAATTTTCATGAATAAACATTTATTTGATACAATTATGACCTTGAAAAATTGAAGTAGTTTAAATCTATAGAAGATTTATAAACAAACATGAACTTCCGTTAATCAATACATAAAGTCATTCAGCCGGATGCACCGTCAGCACTATAGAACAATGGACCATTATAGCAGATGAAGCGTCATCAGTATGCGGGATAACCAGTAAATGTGGAGTTTATTTACATAACTGTGCAGTTAATTTCTAAATAATAACATAATTGGAATTAATTGTGTTGAGTATTCATTTTTAATATTTTATATTTTAGTTTAATTTTTTATGATATTTTTCACACTATGTTATTATTATTCCTACAGTGGAACCTCGCTTAACGAGTTTAATTCGTTCTAAAATTTTCGGATTTTTACTCGTATGGTGAAACGTATTCAAAAATACACATAATATGTGTACACAAGTTTTAAAAATGATGTAGAAAACGCGTAATCCGGGACTTCTCTTCTCATCGTCACTCGTTATGCGAAACGTCGCTCGTTAAGCGAGTCATTTTTCTTACAATTCATTTTGATTGTTAAGCGAAATGCGAGGTGGTCGTTAAGCGAGATTCCACTGTATTCTGAAGAAAAATAATTTCCACATACAAGTGCAGTTTTTTCATAATAATCATTCAAGCAATGGGGTTGTGTCGCAATCTGCGCATGACAACAAAACATTACATAAGTTAATAGGTTAGAATGTCACATAAGTT